ATAGTCTCGTACCTGGAAAAAATCCGGCTCGATAATGAACGACCTTAGTGGCGGCATCTACAACCAACTTGCGGACCCAGCGCAGTTATACCGTTGAATGTTTCTGGACCCCCTTGTGCTCTGCAGTCACATTATATTGGGTCACTATACGAAATAAAATAGGATATTTCACGACAGCTTTTCTAATGACGACAGTCGTTAGAATTATATAGTGTCAGATTTTATTTTTTTTGTTTAGATATGAAATTCATTAAGCACCTGTGATTGTAGATTAGGATTGCAAGCGCTTTCTTTAAGTCTTTTCTTTCAAAAGTCTCAATGCGACGTGTATATATAATGTTAGCTCAACCGAACGCTTGCTCAATGTGAATTTGACGTTAATAAGTCCTAATGAACAACCTCTTCAGCTTAGATTTCTATGACTTTTTAATAGAATAAGTCCCAAAAAAAAAAAGAATTTAGATAAGCATCTGAATAAACGTTATACCTCAAGACTAGTTCGCATTCAGTCTTCCAACAAAAAAAAAATGCGCTGGAAAGTGCAAAAGTGCGAAGTCCGGGAATCGAACCCGGGCCGTCTGCTTGGAAGGCAGAAATTCTACCATTGAACTAACTTCGCATTTTCTGAAATGTTGACTTTTTACAAAAATACCTTCATATTAAATTACTGCTATGAAAATTAAAAAAATCTGGTCGAGATTGTATGCACTCAACTGTGACTGTACGATATAAATTTTCACCTACTAACTGCTGCAACATAATTTCATAAATTTATATTTTTTTAAAAAAAGCTTATAGTACCTTTGAACCTGCTTATCTAGCTTCTGGGCGTTATATGACTGTCCTACAGCTATTGCCTAAAGCCTACCAGATCTAAGTATCTCTGTTGGTAATTTTTTATATATCAATTTTGTAACAATGCCCATTCTTCCTACTTAATTTGAAACAGATTGGTTTGTTCTTACATTAATAATTCGTACTAATTCAATAGCACAAGCTATAAAAACGCAAGCTACACAACAGTTTTTCATGTCTGATGCGAAGATAATGATATGATAAATACTGTGCAACAATGATACTTTCAAAAAGAATTCTATGTAATGACAATGCTACGAATATTACGCAATAACCTTTCAAGCCTTCTGAGCCACTGCAGCTATGACTCGGAGACGCAAGTGTATGCTACGAGCACTAAGATGGTTGTATAAAGAAAAGTAATGGCCAAATCTTAGAACAAAATGAATAAAAAAATAAATAAAATAAAATACAAAGTTTAGCAGTTAAACGCATCTAACTGCCTTTAAAAATTTATAGGTTTTATCGTCACCGTACTAGAGTTCCTCCCTTTTTTCTCTTTCACTCTCCACATGCGATATATTGTCCACCTCGCCTTAGTTTAGTTTGTTTTTATCAAAATTGAGCAACACCTTTACAAGCTTGTCATTGTTTACCAAAAAAAACCTGCGCTTTTCAAAGCCGATTTAACGGTAAAGGTGTTCAGCCACTGTAGGTAGTAACTTTATGGGAATTAGGGCAATACTCCACGGTCATCGCTGGAGACGGTATCTGTGGCAAAAATTTATATGTATGTACCGATAATTTGAATCTCTCACTCTTCTGTAGCTTTTTGCAATGCCGAAAATTTGTGAGGCGTTCGGTAAGGAATGGCTCCAAAAAATTTATGGATCCCTTGTAATTTGGAATTTAGAGACTCGCGTTCCCTCGTAAGGGTTGAATCTTTCTCCCAAGTAAGTTACAGCTCTTTTTTAAATGGCTGCGCGGCTACGGCAGGGTAATCGACGGTTACAACTTGCAATGTGCCACGGTATAGGACTCACCGGTGGTCAATGTTATACCAAAAGCAATGGGAAAAGTAACGGCTGAACTTCTGTTGCACGACTGTATTATAAGTATGAGTGCTTGAGACGATTGTTATGGATCTTAGGCTCAAACTTTATGGCAAATCTGTCGAATTTTTATGCACATCTTAAGACCAAGATTTGACGACATTGGCTTTCCACCTGAGTACTAATGGCAAAGACGGAACATCATGGTGGTGTGCTACCACACCAAGCTTAACTGTCCAGGAACTGACGATGAGACAGAGAACTCATTGTGGTAATCGACAAGAAGGAAGTATAACATCACAAATAAAGGTAAAAGTTGGAGAATGTAGCGTGGCAACAAGTGGTAGAAGCCACTACTCAAATGGAAAGTTAAACCACAAGGTTTTGCGGTTTAGGTGGGTCGATGAATGCAATTCGGTATCAACAAATCAAAACCAGTGAAGTACTCTCAATTGATGCTTTTCATCTCAGATCATCCTTTACTAGAAACAAATAGTGGACCTTCTCAAGACGTAAAATGATATTCGCTGCGATTGACTAATGATACACGAGCGACCGAATACGCAAGCATGAACAGAACATGTCACTTTCTACTGTCGACGAACTGCAAGCCCAGTGGGAGCTTTTGGAAGTAGCTGTATGATCAAGAGAAACGATGAAAATTCATTAAGACTGAGCAGATGGTTGGATGTGTTGTAACTTTATGACTTCTCAAGCTCGAATAAAAACGCGGCAAGGTGAAATTGATAGCAGACGCTTTGTTACGACGAGAAGACCTGAATGCGGCGGACTTACACTACTCATTCTCGCGCTGGACACATCCAGTTGGCCCATTTGCGTTGCTACATTCTTGCAAAACGGATATCTAGCTGGTTCTCTAAAAGCTGTACAAAATGAGACGAATACTTGCCACAACGATATGGAAGATCGACGATCTCGGATGTTGATCAAAATAGAATGCTGCGCTGAAAGTCAATTTACTATCTACCTTACGGCATCGACCCATCTATTATATACAATTTTGTACCGCCCTTCGTTTGGTACTTAACGAACAAGCAATGAGAATGTTTCTTTATATGTTAGGAATGAGTGGTTTGTGCTGGAGGGGGACACGATGAAACAGCAAAATAACGACTAAAAAGTGACACTGCCAATAAAGAGCAACATGACCAACCCGTTATGAAGCTTACAAGCAGGATCATCCGTCCACCATGAAATGTTGATGATATTCCAGCGTTGACAGTGTACTTATGAGACGGGCGAAGTTCAACAAAGATAGCCCTGCCGAAGCTAAACTTATTTGGCTACCTTATTTGCCAAACAGTAAGTGATAACAACATCTATTCAAAAGTTCAAGCTTTGAATTTGGCTATTTTTATTAGTGCATATGCGCACATTTTCAGGATATCACAAATGGTGTACATAACAAAGTCGTCGTGAATGGTCAGTATGTAATAACAGAAAATCCAATGCCAAAAATAAAAATAATAAAAAAATCCAACGTTACTAGCCTAAAGGCGCTCAAAAAAAGCTTTGATCATCCTTACGACTTTTGAGGAAGACATAGATGCTGGCTAAGGCCACTGCTTTTCGGCATATCTTTCATGTTTTTCGGGATGTCAAGATCTTCGCCACGATCGAAGACCTACCTAGTGCAACCTCGGTTCAGAACATCGATCAATAATAGTTGCAATCATCGCCAACCTCAATCACTGTTACTTCTTGTGGAATATCAGCTCGCACCTGGACGCTTGTAGATCCTACATTTTTTAGCATACATTAAGACAGCCAATTACTCTTATCTAGATCAATTTTTTTTTTTAGCGAGCTCAGTCGCCATTCAACATGGCGGTTCCCTATGGCCGATGTCAAAAATACGGCGCCATTGTATAACACCAAGCTTCACAACCCCAAACTGATGATGAAGTAAAAGATTACCTCTGACTACAACCGCTTTCCATCGACGACTTGAAAAGCACTAGCCGGCGAACAAATAGGCTTTTAGGGCATAGTGATGTGCAAAGGTACTTCAACACAAATTTCTGCTAATTGAAGTTATCATGATCGAAAGCATTAGCCAAGAGAGAGAAATTGTTTGAATGTTCGTTTTTAAACTGTTTTAACAATAAAGTAAGAGAAAACAAGGTAACTCAAAAAAATAATAATTTAGGCTTCTGCGATAGTTATGTCAAATTCTTTGGAGTGACTATGTTATTTTGGCAGGGGATGTCGCAAAGTGTAGGCCCATCTGACGGTGGAGTAATGAGACTTATGACTAGTTTTACTCCATTTTAGCACTGCCTTTGGCAGTGGCTCTGTCGGTGCATAGCCACGGAGTTCAGTTTATTTCACCAGTGCGATTGTCATCTCGAGATGTACTTGGAATTGCTGTGCTGTTGATCAGCAATTCAAACCCTCTTCTCCATAAATTATGATTGTCACACTCGCAATTAAAAGAAAAAATAAGTGTATATTGTCAGTTAGCTTTTGAAGGTGAGCGCATCAACAGTTGAAATTGTTTGGAACCGAGATGTCGGCTTCAGATGCGGTTTCTAAGAAAGGTGGCATGACCTGACTAGCAGTTAATTTGAGCTGATGATGAGATAATTACGCAACGCCTCTGTAGTTTTGTGTGAAAGAAAGAAAATAATGAATATTGATTTCAAACGAATTATTCATAGCACTTATCAAGACTATCTTGTTTGCGACCATGAAGTCAAAATATTTTGTCAAAGTACTTTGAACGAGGTGTTTGTCGTAAGATCATACAAGACAATATCTCGCATTTATGGTATAGCAGCATTTTCTATTGGCAACTATTTTAAATAATTGATTATAAAGTCAAAAAAATGAAGATTAAATATAGATATAGTGCTTATATAATTTCTGAAAATTCAACAACAACATTTATTAGTGAGTGGCAACTTGAGTACATGCTTAAAAATGGAAGGATGTTACATTATTTAACGTCACTTACTTACTAAAATTTCACTTCAACCACATAATAACATTTTAATTTTATTTTTATGTATGAGTATTTGGATAGCTAACTTATTGGTACAGACTGAAAGGTTATGTGGAAGAGTAAAGCTTTTCAATTATATTAATGAATAATAGAATATAAATAACAGTTCTTTTCAGCTTTCAGAAAAAGCGAAGTTAGTTCAATGGTAGAATTTCTGCCTTCCAAGCAGACGGCCCGGGTTCGATTCCCGGACTTCGCATTTTGCCTTTTGTGAGTACATTTTTGTTGCCGTTTATAAGGTTCAGCGATCATGTTTAACAAAGCGGGTAGGTTGGACCGAATGCCTCATCCATTACACGGGATTACATCCTTTAGATTGTGTTCATATTTTTTATTGATTTTTAGAAGAACTATACATTATTTCTACCATGGAATGCCATACTTCATCTACTTTCGGCGAAAAATGGAGTCAGGTAAAACAGGAAGAGGTGGTTGGGATAGTCTATGGAGGCACTCCCGTGTGATAGTTGAGGAGTTCAGATAAAGACCCTCCCCTCCACCTTTCAATCTTGACGCCTCGAGGGTGAACCCATAGGTTGTGGCTCCAGAACAGCAGAGAGGCTAGGTGTGTTCAGCGTTAGAACGGCGAAATTTGGTTGGAGTCTCCGCCAATACTGCTCTAGTCGTACCTGAATCTCGCGCACGAATGCGTCGACCCGTAATTGACAGTAGGTCCACTATACGCTTGGATGATCGTTCATGTGCTAAGCGACTGTACTGCGAAGTGGTTGTATCTTGTCAAAATCTAGTGGCGAGAATTAAAGGATTCAGTATGACTTCCCTTTGATTGTTATGCTAAAAAACCCCCCCCCCCAATCTTCACTTGATCGCAAAAGTTTAAATTTACTTTAATTTTCAGGACTCCCAATCTTTGTCAATGTTGAGTATTAATCTTTGACGGCCATTTAAGTAATGAGTCGGGAAGTCGGTCCTATGTCAATAGTCTTTGGACACATGGCCAAAAATTTCTGATGCAGCTCATTCCGTAAGTGCCAACAAAGAAATTTGGGCTAGAAATTTTTATTGGCCGTATCAATGGAAGGCACAGTGATTATTGCGGTGGGTATCTTTCGACTCACATGTAATATCGCTATCGGCAAAGAGCTGAAAGTAGCAATATCATGTCTTTTTAAAAAATTTGCGTGGCAATCTGCATCACTTACAGGAATACTAATTGATTTAAGATTTTCGGCAATGCAACGGAGTCCGGCGGCGAATTACTATCAATATTTATGCAGGCTATGCTTACGATGACAAATTCGGGTCGGTAGCTTTCCTATATATTGGCGCATGGTAAGCTCACATTATTCTCACCAATCAACTACCAAACCTGAAGTCATCCATTAACTCAAACATGCTAGTCCTAACAGGAACGTCAGGAAACCTTGGAGGGGGAGTTCTCCAAAACATTCTCGAGAAGGAACTCATTCCTACCTCCGAACTTAGGATCTCTGCGTACAACACTGATGCTGTCCCAGCTATTGCTAAAAAGGCGGGCATTGAAGTTCGTCATGGCAATTATGAGAAACCAGAAACTCTTGTGTCGTCCTTTACAGGCGCAGATACTTTATTTCTTGTGTCATATCCATCAGTAAGCGAGGAAAGGTTCGCACACCACAAGGCCGCCATTGATGCTGCAAAACAAGCAGGAGTATCGCACGTAATATACACTTCTCTGACCTACGGTGGGCCTACCGGAGAGGATACCATAGCTGGCGTCATGAAGGCACACGTCAATACTGTCAAGTATTTGAAAGGTTCTGAGCTAACCTATACCATCGTCAGGGAGGCATCTTATGCTGAGATATGGAGTATTTCGGCTGGCTTTTTGCAACTTGATGACAGCAATAAGGAATTCGATATCGTCGTTCCTGGTAATGGAGGAAATACCTGGGCCAGTCGAGATGAATTGGCGGAGGCAACTGCTATAATTGTTGCAAACAAGGTTGGTTAAAGTGTCATTTACGGCCAAAGTAATGTGATCAAGTCGTTAATTAATCACCCCCAATACGTAGGACAAGTATAAAAACCAATCTATATCACTGACAGGTCCACGCTCTACAACTATTACTGAAATTGGCACCTTACTACAAGAACACACTGGCCGCAAAGTAAACGTCAAAATCGTTTCGGCAGAAGAAGCTATAGCATACCACAAGGAACATCACAGTCTTCCTCCTGAACAAGAATTCGTATTGGAAAGCTGGGTATCTTGGTTTAAAGCGAACGATAGAGGAGAAGGAGTAATTGTTGATCCTGCGATGGAAAAGTTGTTGGGACGGAAACCGAAGGGACTGAAGGAGATGGCGTCAGAAATTTTCAAAGTGAATCAAAAATTGGAAACCACTGATTTTGAAAACTATACAAAATAATTAGCTTGCCATAGATCAACGATATCTCGAACAACACGCATCTGAGCCAGTGTTTGCTTTTGTATACTATCATTGAATTTAATAAAATCTTCACACCATGATGCATACATTTCGAATCTGTTTCTGGCTGCTTAAAAACTCATAAGCATTAAAAGCCCCTATGAAACAAAATTTTACTTTTTGCACGCCAATATGAATATTGTTTGCTACAAAAACTCTACTAACTCCTCCTCCATTCGACTCAAGTCAAGCTGTCAACCGACTTTTGAATAGTTCCAATTCCACCATTTCCAATCACATAGTCTACAACAAGTCCATTTGTGTGTATTCCAGTCCATTTTGCTCTCGGTCTGGATAGGTTTGATAATTGATGATATAATCAGCGCCGGAGTTACTCGACACAAATTCCAGCTTTTCGTCAGACGAGGAAGTTACAATGTTAATTGCTCCAGTCTTGATTCTGACTAATGCTTAATGCTTTTTTTTACTTCAAGAAGTTCCAACTGTCTACAAGCTGCCTGTACGATGAAACGTTTCCATCACATAGCCTAAAAACTCGATGGTTAATTTGGGATTGCCATGGTTTCATGTTACTCGAAATAATAATAAATCATACTTTTTATTTCAATGTCATGGATGGATGGATGGATAGATTGATGTATTTTTTTTTGGGTGGTTAAACAGTTTGGGCGTACATTTGCTCACTGATGGTAAGTTGCGGTTAAAGGCTTTTTCCCGGACAGTTCGCTTGGAGATATTGTCTTGGTATCCTGTTGTCCTGTAGGTAGTAGCGGTAGACTCCACAATATTCCTTTACCACTTTCTATTATATAATGCATCACTAGCTGTGGATATATATTGCGGAATCGCCATTAATTCTGAAATCTGTTCAAGAATCTATCGTTTTTTAGAGTAGTATGGAGAACATTGTTGTTGTTTTTGAGGATACTGATAGTCTCCTAGAGATCGTAAGCCAAATTTAAGTAATCAGCATTAATAAAACACTCAGACGAACTATCCAAATTCGAAAGACACCATCAAAAAGAAAGCTTCTTGCACTTACATGGAGAAAGCGGACAGTTTGTAGCAGTATCTCGTTTTGCGTCGGCGTCCTAGTCTCGCCTAGGAAGATGATTCCAGTCAATATTGTGACGAACGATATCGCTTTATACCGGTTTGTAAACTCCATCAGTGTATCATTTCCGTCAAGATTCAAGAATTGTAGGTTGGTTAAGCAGAGCAGCTGTATGACCCCTACGGCGACAAGAGCGATCACACCCCACTTCTTCCACATTTCACGGTTCGGCATAGTATGTCCTATTGCGATCAGAACGCCCATTATTGCGTAGGATCGGAAAAGGACAGATATCATTGGGATCCTGAGCTGAGACAGTGACTCTGCATATGGGTGAGTGAACACTAAGCTTCCTAGCGCAGCATAACTGAGTTGCATGCCATCCTTGCCCATTATGCGTTCAAATGTCTGCTCAGCAGACAAGCCGATAGTGTTCAGTAGCTGGTCCTCAAACTTGTAAAGCTTAGTTCGAAGTAAAAGGGGGTGTATCCTGAATGGTTCTCCAATGATTTTATAAATGTTGCTTGGATCGGGAATGAAAATCTCTCTAGCGAAATAGCCACAACCGAGTACCAGAAGTGTTGTAATGACTGTTGAAGAGGTGGAGTTGTTTGGCCATTCAAACTTGATGTTTAGGTTGTTGTTCTTCCAAGCGCTAAATAGCAGAAGAAAAGCAAGTAACGCGATTCCGAGGCCCTCTGTTAAGTCTGAAGTCGACATGGTAAAAGAGATGGCAGCTGAACGTGAAGTTTGTCACTTTCCCCGCAATACCAAATTTTATAACTGTGTCTGATAATGACTTCATTATATTAAGACCTGACTCAAGCACTGCGAGAAAAGGAAAATGCGCTCTAAGATGACAACTCTGTTGACTAACACTGTATTGGCATATTTTTTCAAGGATAATATATGGTTATCAATTTAGATGAATGGAAACATTGGGCAATTCTAGCCACGCCACATAAACTATCTACCTAGAATCGAACAACATAAGGTGCATGACCACTGCGTATAGTATGGGTACCGAGAGGGACACCGTGTTGTTCTGCTTCAACCATCTTTCCATTTCCAGCATAAATAGCAACGTGCTCGTTACATTTCTTAGAATCACTTCCATAGAATATAAGATCACCAGGTTGTGCGCTCGAAAATGCAATCTTCTTTCCTCGGCTATCATTATACTGAGAGCAAGTATAGTGAGCGAGAGAAATCTTCTTGACTTGGTAGATAGCGTACTTAGTGAGACCACTGCAGTCGAATCCTTTGACATGTCTATCGTCATATCCGCTTGGAGAGCAGCAAATACCATTTGTGGGTCCGTTATTATCACCTCCTCCCCAAGAGTACTAGATGAGACATGAATATGTCAGAAGTTCTTAAAGACAGGTAATCTCGGTTATGCACACTTACGGGAAGACCAGTTTGAGTTTGAGCCTTCTTCACGATCGCTGCTCCAGTTCCACTACCGCCGCTACCACCACCAGTGCTGCCACATCGCTACAGCCATTTATGTTAACCATACCGATAACGGTTGTGTACATATACAAGAGCTACTCACAGGAATATTGGGATCAAATCCGGAGTAGCCAGTTTTGACATAAGCATCGGGAAGGTAATATTTACCATCTTGATTTACCGATTACAATGTTATTATGACTTCTCCGTTTAACATTCAGTAGAAAACGTGTAAGTTTGTTAACATACCATAGTCCCAAATGTTGCTGCCATACAAGGTTGATCCAGTAGTTTGAC